TCACTGGGGTTGTTCTCACCACCACCATCACCTCTTTCCTTCTTCCTTTGTCTAATAGCCCCCTTCTTTAGTGGTTCATTCCTGAAATTGTGTCCTCTTTTTTCATCTCTGTTTCATGGTGTAAGAATTCAGGGATCTGCTTGTGGCCAGAAACAGTACCTGATCCCAAGTGGGAAATTCTAGTGGTGGATGGGACCCTGGGTTTGGACAGCTCTGAAGCCCTCCCCGCTTTGAGATGCTGCTTTTATTAGAGGGGTTCGTAACTGGAGCATTTGTGCCACTGCTGGAACCCTGGCACTGGCCCTGTCTCTACAATCCCTAGGTCCCCATATCTGGGGCTCACTGCTGAGCAGCGAGAGAGCGAGGCAAGAAGGGCTGCTTGGCCTGTCCGGTGCCCGCCCACAGGGGACCTCTGTGCAAACCAGAAAAAGGCACACTTTCCTCTAGATTGGAGCCCACAGCCACTCGCCAGAGAGACAGCTGACCTTTCTAGCTGCCCAGCCATGGCCACACCCCCTAACGTGCTGCCCAGCTATGGCAACCTGGTACTCGGGGATCTGACCCCAGCCCCCCCAGAGGGTTCCTCTGCAGAGTCAGCCCGGCCTGCGGTGGGTGTTTATGGGTCCTTCTGACCCCGGCACTCACCCTGACCCTGGCCTGGTTTTATGATGAAAGTCTGGCTCTCTGCACACCTCTCTCGTGAGTCAGACTGTAAGGGGCCTGATGTAGTTTGCAGAAGCACAGCACACGTGGTGGAAACCCTCGTGCCAGGCTGAACAGAGGCTACTAATCAGACATCGAATGAGCTTCTCCCACGTGCAAATGCTTTTAGGCTCTAGGGAGACTGCACAGGTGAATCAGACATTATTTCAGCCCTCCAGACACTCCATTTTAGGGGGAGAAGCAACCATATGCATATACAACTGGGGATGCAGGGCAGTGGTGGTGTGTTCGTGTGTATGTGTGTGTAGGAGGGTCAAGAAAGGATTCTTGGAAAGGGTGGTTTTTGAGCTGGGTCTTAAAATAAGTGGGACCCCAACAGGCAGAATAGTAGGGGAAGGGAAGTGTGTTCAAGGCACAGGGAAGCTTCTGAGCAGAGGCAGCGAGGAGAGAAGAAAAAGCAGAATGTGTTTGCACCTGGTTGATGTAAATGGTTAATTCGCTTGGCTGCTAACCGAAAGGTCAGAGATTTGAGTCCACCCAGAGATGCCTGGAAAGAAAGGCCTTGTAATCTATTTCCAAAACATCAGCCGTTGAAAACTCTATGGAGCACAGCTCTACTCTGACACATGTGGGGCCACTGTGCGTCGGCGTCAACTCGATGGCAAGTGTTACTGGTGGGTTTGCAAGGCAAGTAAACTGGTGTGGCTTCATGGGACGGTGAGAGGGTGTGGAGGTCAGGTGGGGGTGGTCTGTATAGGGAGTTCAAGGGCAAGAGGAGCCAAGTTGTGGAGAGTTTTTCAACCTCCACAAAGTGAGAGTTTGGTATTGGGCAGGGACAAGAGGAGATCAGCTCTTGCAGGGGAGAAATGCAGGAAGGAGAAGCCGTGGGAATGCTGATGGGGTATGAGACAAATGGAGTCTGATTAAAGTCCTCCCGGCAGAGTGAGTGTGCGCTGAGCCGCCCGCCCCAAGGGCTTTCCCAGGCTGCGATCAGATTCACCTGTAGCAGGCCGATCACACGTGACCTTCCCTTGAACCCCCATCAGGAAATCACCGAAATCCCTCACTCCCATAAATTAAAGATGACCACAGTATCAAGGACAATTTGGGGGAAAACAACAGTGGCCTCGCAGCTGTCCCCGCCAGCGAGGATCTTTAACACCCACTGGCCTGGGGCTGGGAGCGGGTCGTGTAGGAGAACATCACACTGGTCTTCTAAATCAGTTCTGTGCTGTGAGCCAACAGGATGTCCCAGTGTGGGGGAGGGCCAGGGACCCCATTTTCTGATCTACTTGAGCAAATCAACCCCATCTTCCAGAGGGAGTGAGGGGGAAGCAGCTGGCATGGCAGAGAAAAGATGGGGAGCAAAGAACGTTCCCATTGGAACAAACTTGCAGCAACTTCCGTTTATAAAAGTCTCCTCAGCAAGCCAGGATGGGGTGCATTTACCAGGCACAGCTCACCCCCAACCTCTCCAGCCAGCCTCTGAGCTCCAAGCTCCTGATGAAAACCAGACTTTAGGACCAACAATGACTGCAAGAAATTTCCACATGTTATACCCCAGACTCAGAAATTTCTGAGACAGCGTATTTGAAATATTCAATTCCACTGTCCCTATAAATATAGGAGCGTTTGTCAGACCCTGTGCTCTGCAGTCTGGTTCAGAAAATATGGACCTAATACTGTCTACAGCTGCTATTTATTGAACTCTTACTATATGCCAGACACAGTGTTAATCTCATGGATCACTGCATTTAACCTTCACAGAGACTCTATACGGAAGGTGCTATTATTATATTTCCATTTTACGGCTAGGGAAACAGAGGCTGTGAGAGATTGAGAACTTGCCCAAAGTCATGCAGCCAAAAGTTGGGGTGTTGACACTGTGCCCTGTCTGTCTGTGAAGCACTATGGAAAGCATATTTCTGATGGATGCTGGTCTCACTTCCAGAGATGGCTCAGCTGGGACTAGGGTGAAGGAAGTGAGGCCCTCACTTTGGGAGTAAAATATAAGGGGTGCCCAAAACCCCAGTAATGAAGATAAGTAATATTTTAATGTAATATTTTTAAAAATAAAAATTAATGCAAAAAATCCGCAATGAAAAAAATATCAAAATTTTAAAGAGACAGGCTGTAACAAGTGACTTGGGATCGGCAGGGTTGGGTGGCGGTAGGGGTTCTTTGTGGATTTGTCTATTCTGAGCTGAAGTTTTGATTCCTAGGGTTGGTTTAAAGACTTGCTCTTCACTTTCTTTTTTTCTAGGCTCTTACGAAGCGGATCTTTCCTACCTTCTGCCCTTTTAGTTAAATCGCAAACAAAGAGTCAAGCAACAGGGCAATAAAAATTCCCACGTGGAACAGAGAGTGGGTTTGCAGCCACACGGGAATAAATGAACATCAGTTTGCTGTGCCTTGCTTCATGCCACTGCTGCTGCTCCTGGGAGGACCCTGCAGGAGAACCCAGGGCGTCTGCTGAATGGGGGACCCCACCCCAGAATCTGAGCCTATGAGGAGTACAGGGCATTCAGCAGAGGGTGTTCGTGTGCCCTTGGGGTGGTCAGCTGCTTGGCATCTACACTGCCTCCCTAATGCAGTGCCCTGGGCCATTTGCTGAAATGCAGAATGATGAAAGAGAGTTTGCCTGGGCCCAATGGACTCGGTTTTGCCCATCCCTGCCCAACGCCCTTGGCTTACAGTTCCTTGGAAGGTGGCTGGACGCAGATTTTGGAGAGGAGCAGAGATGGAGGAGGAACAGAGGCAGGCACTATGGAGGGGAAAGCTGTTCAACTAGTCACAGTAGCCAAGTTGCTGAGAGTTCCTTGGAGAGGAGAAGCAGAAAATGCTCCAATTCTCGGCAAATCTTCAACCAGGCAGGGGAAGGAATTTAACCAGCTGGGGATTTAAAGGGCCCTTCTATTTAGCAAAGGAGCCCTGGTGGAGCAGTGGGTAAGTGCTCAGCTGCTAACCGAAGGGTCCGCGGTTCGAACCCACCATCTGCTCCACGAGAGAAAGATGTGGCAGTTTGCTTCTGTCAAGATTACAACCTTGGAAACCCATGGGGGCAGTTCTGCTCTGTCCTATAGGGTTGCTATGAGTTGGAATCAACTCAACAGCAATGGATCTTTGGTCTATTTAGCAACCTAGGTAGTGCAGTTAATGTACTCGGCTGCTAACTGAAAGAAAGGTTAGAGGTTCGAGTCCACCCAGAGGTGCCTTGGAAGACAGGCCTGGCAATCTACTGAAAAACTAGCCATTGAAAACCCTATGGAGCACAGTTCTACTCTGACACACACAGGGTTGCCATGAGTCATGAGCCACTTCATAGAAACTAGTTTGTTTTTTTGGTTTCTATTTAGCAACCAGGGGGACAGACTGTGGTTATTGCAATCTATTTGAGCGCATCGAGGGGCTTCTTCAAGCACGGAGACCAAGTATCATTCAAAAATCAGTAGTGTGCTTGAAATTCAACTGAAGGGTGTGGGACTTGGGGTCTGAAGGCCTGGATTTGAGCTCACTTCTAGGTTTACCTGAGACTGAGAGGTTTTCTGGGACACAGGACTGGGCAAACTGGGATGAGCTAGTCAGTCTATTTCAACCCATTCTAGCAGTGTTTCCCTCAAACTTTTAGCCTCTCATTTTCCACATGTATAGAATTGAGATAATAAAACTTCCTGCAATTTGGACCCATCATCAGGAAAGACCAATCGCTAGGAAAGGACATGGTTAGGTAAAGCAGAGGGTCGGCAGAAACAGGGGAGACCCTCAATGAGATGGATTGACACAGTAGTCACAACACTGGATTCAGACATACCACTGATCATGAAGATGGCACAGGATCAGGCAATCTTTTGCTCTATTATCCGTAAGTTCACCACGGCTCAGGCCAACTCAACGGCAGCTAACAACAACAACCCACCTTGCAAACTTGTAGGACTCAAAGGAGGTAACCCATGTTTCCCACAGCACCTTAAACCTGCTCCCATCATAACACCTCCCACTGCCAGACATTCCTCTCAGGCCTCCTCTTCTCAGTCTGAGCAATTTGGGAGCAAGACCACCTTATTCACCTCTGCACTCCCATTTTCATTCTCTGGCTGGTACATCCTCCCGCGGCCCACAAGTGCTGAGGATACAGACTCAGCCCCCACCACCAGAGGCTGAGAACTCTGAGTGGCAGAAACGCCAAAGGTCATCTGGTCCCGTCTCGTGCCTCGTGGTTAGTTAGGTAGTTTTGTTGACATTTCACGGTTGGGGCAGCTAGGCTCAGAGAGGGTGAGCGATCTCCCCAAGTTCACATTGTTAGTAAAGGAATGGTCAGCTGCTCCCCAGCCACCTACCTGAGCTCTCCTTTTTTCGTCTGGTTGACTTCTTCTCCGTCTCGTTGGCAGTGCTCCCAAGGACCCTGTAGTCCTCAGCTGGGCCTCCCAGGGCTTCCACCAGGCCCGGGCTGCTGGCCCCCATCTCCCGGGAACCCCCAGCTGGGCCTGGGTTGAGCCTGCGCCGGGCCTCTGAGACAGGGAAGTGCCAGTCAGGGGGCTGTGGGAAGGCGGGGTGCTGCTCAGTGAAGACGCGCTCCTCCCGGGGCAGGCTGTGTGGGGTTGCCGCCAGGCAGGAGGCAGAGAAGTCGGGGTATGCTGCCGTCGCTGTTGCCGGGAAGTCTGGTTTCTGGTGGAAGGAGAACGGGGTTGGCGGGTAGTGGGGGAGCCCTGAGGTCCCGTTGCCTTCTGAGTAGGAGTTTCGAAGGCAGCCCCAGACAGGGGCCGGAGGGTGGGGGCTCCGCATGCAGCTGCTGGCCACGGGATCCATCTGTGTCGGCTGCCTGCCTCAGTCCTCTCAAAGATTTGACTCTTTACACTTGTTAGATTGAAAATTTTAAAAATGCAAAAAGAAAAAAAAATTTAAATAGGAGGAAAAAAAGTTCAACAGAAAATTCACCCCAGGAACCAAAACAAAAACCAAAACTAAAGTCTTTCCTGAAAGTACGCACACATGTGGCCACCGTCACACATGTGTGACACACACCTATGTTGGACTTCACTCCTCGCTTCCTGCCCCCCAGCACACCAGCCTGCCTATTGGGGTCCCTTGTACGTGTATTTGTCGCTGATGACACTGAACATTTTCAATGGCCCAGCTCGGCACCACCAGCTGAGGAGGAACCAACTCGCCCTGGCGCCCGAAGCCAATGCCTGCAGAGGGCCAGCCCGGCGCTCTGAGACACACTTTTAAATCCTGCAGTGGGGAGAGAGTGACACATTTCTGAAGTGAAATGTGAGCGAGGAGAGGGAGGGGTTAACCCGTGCGCACACGATCCCCTCCAACCAAAACCCGAGCAGGCAACTATTAATCATCAGAAACCTTATATGCACATCTAATGGGATTTGCAGATGGAGACTTTTAAAGAAACATTGTCTGTTTTTTTTTTTTTTTTTAAGGAGAGAGCAGCTCACACACACAACCTCTTTAATGTGCCTCCTGAAGCTATTTTTATTGCACTGTTAACAAAATTCCCCAAGTCTTGGATTTGGAAAAAGCCTTAAGTCAGATCCAGAATCCATCAAATGCCAAATTCCAGGGAGCGAAGCAGGGAATAAGTGCAAGAGACAAGCTTGCTGATTGCATTTGATTTAAAGGCCCTTCTACTGCTGCCTGCAGAAAAGGAAGGTGGATTAAAAGAAATTTTTTATGCAAGTCTCAGAGGCTCACTGTACTGTATAGTATAAACAAAGACACACTCCAGTAAAAAGTCATTTCTCTCTGCCCGAAGTGACATTCTCACTTTCTCAGTAACTTAAAAAAACCGCAGATTCTTCCTTCCACTCTTTAACCTCCAACTTATACGCCAGTTAGCCACAGTCTTCTCTAGAAGGGTTTCCAGGTCCTTTTTCTCCTCGGCAAAGGAAAGACTCTTAAAGAAGTTCCTTGAAGTTTCTTCAGACCTCCCCCACCTGCTCCCTGCCCCCTTAACCTACACCAACCTGCTTTCCTTTGCCTACCCTGGAGGCCGAGCCTTCCAAGGAATCTGGGGCATGCAAATTGGAATCGGGGGATTCTTTTTTTTTTTTTATTCTTGTAAAATATATATATAACACAACATCATCCAATGTGACGTTTTTCACGTGTACAATTTAGCGACATCAGCTACATGAATTATGTTGTGCAACCATTACCAATAATTGTTGCCAAATTTTTCCATCACCATAAACAGAAATTCACTGCTTCCCGAACAATGACTCCCAACGGTTCTTGTTCCCCAGTGGAGTTCTCTTTGGCAAATGGGTCACTCGGGTCTTCCTGGCTGGTACTTATCACAGAAGGCCCAGCCCAAGTGTCACCTCAGCCTGTCAGCCACTCAGTCGGCCAGGCCCTGCTGGTCTCCCTGAAGGGCTAATGGAATTTCTCAGAGGCTGATGTTCCAAACATAAGAGGGTCAGGACTCCTCTCTCACCAGATATTTCCAGAGCAGCAGGGTCAGCAGGATTGGGGCAGAAATGGGCATGGGACCTTAACAGCAATGTCTCTAATGGCTGGCCCCAAAGATACCTGGGGTTCCCTGAGGAGAGGCTGTGGGTCTTAGCTCTGCACCCTGAAGTAGGGAGCCTGGGGGAAGGGTACAGGAGATGCTCAAAGTAGACAAATGTAGGCAGAGAGGAAGTGGGGCTTGGGCTGGGGAGTGGCAGCCACGACTTGCCTTTGACACAGAAACTCCTCAGATAAATCCCAGTGGGCAGGACAAGCTGTAAAGAGATAGGTGTGCATGTCATTTGTCAAGAAACAGAAATCCTTCTCCTGGAATGGGCGGCTGGGGTGGGGATGCTGTAGACAGGAGAGGCAATGGGGTCACAGCCACAGAAAAGACTCATCCTTCTGCTTTGTTCAGGGCTTAACTGTTTCATATATGTTTCTCCTTTGAACCTCACAACTCTCCTATTATGGGTAAAGGAAGAATAATGTTCTACACTTTTACATGTGAGGAAACTGACGCTCAGACAGGTGACGTGAGCCATTCAGAATCATCCAGCTAGGAAATGGTAGAACCAGGAGTTGCCCTCAGGGGCTCGGCTGTCAAGTCTGCAACAGCAGTGAAATAAGCATGGGCTTTGTGGTTAGACAGAGTGGAGTTCAAGCCCTCGGTCTGCGACTTCCGAGCTGTGTGCCCTTGGACAAGTCACCTCACCTATGTGAGCTTCCGTTTCCTCATCTGGGATGATAACAATAGCTGATGTTCATCCATTGATCTCAGCACCTTACACATATTATTACCCCAATGGATCCCCACAAAAGCCCTCAGGCAAGTGCTGTTCTCATCATCTGTTCAAAAGAGGAACCTGAAGCAAAGAGAGGTTGTGTAAACTGCACAAGGTCACACAGCTGATATGTGAAGGATCCAGGATCCAAACCCAGGTGGCCTGACCCTGCTACATCAGAATGTCCACCCCAGAGATTTTTGAATTTTAAATAAAGTCATTTATGTGAAGTAGGTAATTAATATATGTGCTCTCTTCCTCGCATATCTAATTCTCATCCACCTCAATGATTCCCGATAAAGGGAGAACATGGGAATGGGGAACACTGAGGAAATTCTATGGAAATAGAATTCTGTGCTGTGGGGGTTCTGGAAGGAATCCATAGGAGCAGGCGTGGATTATCCAATAGGCAAGGTAAGCACAGTGGTTACCTTGCTTACCAGATCATCTGTAGTGAACAATTCCACATTTTTTCACCACAGCAAAGATTCTGCTTCTGGGTATGGCTGACATCTGTCTCTTTCCCAACCCCACAGCACCTTCCTACAGAATCAAAGCCTCTTTTCAAATTTACAATCCTTGACGGGGCAGATTACCCAGTAAGCAAGGCGGGCATGGGTTTACTTATGCTTACTTGCTAATCCATAGTGAAGAATTTCACTACAGATGATCTAGTAAGCAAGATAATCACTGTGCTTACTTCGCTTATTGAATAATCTGCCCTTGCTAGGAGACTGGGAGGAAGATCTGGCCTGTCAGCTTCCCTAGAAAAACCTTCCTGGGGGCCTGGCAAGTAGGCCCACAGGCTGTAACCAGATTCCTGCTCCAGCCTCTACATCTGGCCGAGGGACCCCATCCTAGGAGGCCCAGCAGCCTAGCCCTTTGCCCCTGGAAGGGGTGGTCCCTGGGTCACAGTGGGGTGGGTGGAGAGGTCAGGAGGGGCAGCAGGGAGGGGGCATGCGGGGGCACTTTGCGCTGAGAACGCAAGACCCTGGCACCCTGGCGCCCGCGCAGCTGCTGGTGTCTGTCAGCCACCCCGCAGGGGCACGGCCGGGGGCCTGCTGGCCTCTACATCTTCCTGACAGGCCCCTCTTCTGAGGCCAGGAAAAAACAACAACAGTTCCTCCCCTCACGGCAACCCATTTGTTAGATGAAGGCCGGGGACCAGCACCTTTAACCTCCTCAAAGTCAGCTTTTCCCTGTCAAGGCCCCACAGGCCCATGAGACAGAGATGGATGGAAATGGCTGTAGAAAAAAGGCCTGTGGCCAGGCAGCCAAGGGGAACAGGGTTTTCAGGAAGGGAGGAGACCCCGGTTTCTGGTTGTTGCTGGGGGTGGCAGGAGGAGGAAGAGGAAAAGCGTGAGTTGTGAGGAGGGCCCTGAGGGGCCCTGAGGAAGGCGTTCTGTTTGGCAATACCTGAGCCATCCCAAGGAACTGCTGGAATTTCCTCAATTGTGCACAACAAGCAAGCAAGTCTTTGGCACCAGACCGGCTTCCGTGCTGGGCCACCCCGCCCACCTGTGCCTGGAGATGCGCCATGTTGGGAAGAACCTGGGGCCTGGAGGTCGAAGACCTGGGCTCAAGGTGTGACTTCGCTTTCCAGCCTCAGTTTCTCACCGGCAAAATGGAGATGACAGCACCAGCCTCACAGGGCTGTTGTGCAAATATATGAACTGCCATCTGGGAACAGAGTTTGCTGACTGTAAAGGGAATCATTATGCCTTCTCTTTCCTGAAGTATGCTGAACCACTGGGCAGGTCACGTCCAGATGCCAAGTGGACAGTACAATGTGAAAAATACCCAACATTACTCGAAGGTCAAGAACATGGCCTTGGGACTCAGGAGGGTTAGGTTCAAATCCCAGCTCTGCCACTAATAAACAGGATGGCTTTGGGCAACTCTATCACCTGAGCCTCAGTTCCCTCATCTGTAAAATGAGGATAAACTTGTTCTTCCTTCCCCACTGGGTTACTGAGAGAAGGGAGTGAGATAATAGAAGCTCTTGTCATAGCCCAGCATACAGTAAGTGTTTAATAAGTGGTAATGTCTGGATAAGGAGCACTGGTGGTGCAGTGGTTAAAGTGCTCAGCTGCTAACCAAAAAGTTGGTGGTTCAAATCCACCAGCCCCTCCGTGGGAGAAAGATGTGGCAGCCTGCTTCTGTAAAGATTCACAGCCTTGGAAACCCTATGGAACAGTTCTACTTTGTCCTTTAGGGTTTCTATGGTCGAAATTGACTCTATAGCAGTGGGTTAATATTTGGATAATGATGATGATGATAGTACCTGAGATTCTCACCTTAGGGACAACTCCAGAAGGCCCCTGTGAAATGTTTAGACTCCACCTGAGAGAGGATCAAATGAAGTAATTAGTATCCACTCTCATAATAGAACACGTGACTCAGGTGAGATGCTGTTGCCTAGCAAGGCCTGAAGGAGTGGGACAGGAGACAGACAAGTTTTTAATATGGTGGAAATACCTCTGGACTGGGATTTTTACCCTTGGGTCTGATATTTATTTGACTGTATATGTCCTTTGCTTCTCAGAAGGCTTTGAAACAGCAGGCTTACTCCTGTTTGTCAGCCTGCGCTTCAGAGATTCTGTGAGACTCAAATGAGTTGATCCACAGGGCAGAGTTGGGGAAACTACAGAACACTGTCCTCATGACCACGGCCAAGGCATTCCACCCCAAGGACTCTATAATGGCATCTTTCCTTAATTGCAGAAAACAATGAGTTAATGGAGACGTGGAAACCCTGGTGGCATAGTGGTTAAGAGCTACAGCTGCTAACCAAAAGGTCAGCAGTTCAAATCCACCAGGCATTCTTTGGAAACTCTATGGAGCAGTTCCACTCTGTCCTATACGGTTGCTATGAGTTGGAATGGACTCGACAGCAATGGGTTTAATGGAGACAAGTTCCTCAGACAGAAGTTTTCTCTCACGTATATATTTT